GTGTGTGCAGTGGATGATATGTGTGTGTGCAGTGGATGATATGTATGTGCAGTGGATGATATGTGTGTGTAGTGGATGATATGTGTGTGTGTAGTGGGTGCTGTGTGTTTATGTGGTGGATGGTGTGTGTGTATGTGTGTAGTGGATGGTGTGTGTAGTGGATGGTGTGTGTGTAGTGGATGCAGTTTGAGTGTTTGTGTAGTGGATGCTTTTTGTCTGTTTGATGGTGTGCGTGCTGTTTTTTGTTTTTTTTTGCTGTTAAATTTTTTTTTTAAATATATTCCCCCCTCCCTGTCTCTTACCTTAACTCTTTACAGCCGCGGCTCACGAGGGTGCCGGAAAGGGAGGTCAGTATATCCTGGGCCCTGCTTGGAAGTCAGCAGGGGCATATATATATATAGCGGTATTCGCTATATATATATATATGCACATTGAAGGGCGGGGGGCCCAGACACGCAGAGGATTACTTGTGCAGTCCAGGCCCCCCAGGACCGCCGGGCCCATGACAACAATCATAGTTGTCACTCCCTGTGGCAGCCCTGCTCACAGTGGCTGAAACGTATCACTCATAGCTACTCACACTACTACACATACCACTCACAACTACACATGTAGCCACACACATAAATCACAGCTATACATACATAACACACAGCCAGCCAGCTTTATACATTACGCACAGAAAGCCGCAACAAACAACTCACACATACTTACAACACTAACAGCCAACCTACATCCACACAAGACACACACCCACACCACACATCCACTCTACATTTTAATGAATATTCACATTACATAACATAGGGGATTATTTTCCCGGTGCACGGCCTAATGAAATGGGTTGCACACTGCGGCTTTAATGAAGTCTGGGCAAATGAGCTGCCCAGGAAGACCCAGCAAAGAGCCTTAACACTGGCTAATCGGCCAGACTGCAGTAGATGCAGGCACTAAGTATGTATGGATAATGGCAACAATGCATGGCACCAACGGCCGCAGCTCAGCCATTACTTACAGACTCCATCTGCTGGCTGCCGGTGCCCAGTGTACACTGAAGACTGCTACATCCATTTAAATAGGCTAGGTAGCGCACCGCAAGGGTGCAGCGTTTGTATGCCCCCTGCCCCTTGTGCATCAGCAGAGAGCTACAGGTGCCTCTAAAGTTAGTAAAGAATGTGATCTCAACAGCAAACTACGGGACTCGAGGAATGATTATTTCAATACAAATGAAATAATTGAGTGTGTGAATGTGGCTATATGTGTACATGAATGTGTGTATATGAATGTGAAGTATCTTTGGATTAATGTAAATGTTGTAAAAAGGGATGAGGCATATGTGATGACATGGGCAGATCATATGGGTAGGACATTGTGATGTCACAACTTTGAGGGAGGGGTGGCAAATTATAATTTTTTTGCCTAGTGCAGCAAAAATACTTACACCGTCCCTGGTTGAGTTGCCTGATTATGACTGTGTGTAAGATTGGCGCCGTCTAATGATGGGGTGGCTTAAAGTGATTGTGGTTGAATTTTTGGAGCGTGTTTGTGTGTGGAGGTTAATTGTGTAATAGTAACTGTAAAAATATGAAGTAGTTAACTTTTCTTGTTCATATGTATTTTATGCTCAGATAAGGTTTATAATCATTAGTGCTGACTGTAAGGATATGAAATAGTTAAACTCTTTTTGCTTTATATGCTTTAAAATAATGTTTGAAATAATTATGCTGACTTTGGCAGATGTATTTTGTACCTTGCTCGACCTCAGGATGTTCCTGTCCCGTCTTTATTCAAATGCTTATCTTTTAATGTCAGACAAGTATGTACTATTAACTATAAGGAAGCGATAAATCTCGCTGCTTGCGTGACAAACTGTGTATAAATGCTAGCCCTGAAAATACACTCATTTGAGAATCTTGTTAAAGCACATTTGTGGTGTCCATGTCTTTATTGCTAACAATGATTCTCCATCAATATTAATTATGGTGACCGGAGAATTGAGAATCGAGGGGAGTTGAGTCCAGAACAGCATTAACCCTTTCAGTAACATAAAAAAAAAAAAAAAATTAATACTATGCCATTTAACAGTTCTGCAGGTAGGGGGATATAATACATGGTGGTCCACTGGGGGTATGATCCCTGGTGGTCTTGTTGGGGAGCGTGTCTTCTGCACCTCCAGCTAATATAAACCCAATTAAAGGCTTTTATGGTCAGGGCTCATTGAATGAATCACAAAGTTGCCATGGTAACCCACTGCCAACACTCTTTCTTATTCTCTGAGCACCAGGACCAAGCGGGAATACTTAAAGAGCTCCCTGCTATTATTTCATTGTTATTCAGCAATTTGGGAAAATACTAAATAATGGAACTTTGAATTGTGGAACTTTTTTTCAACAGTAATCTGTAACTTAAATATGGTATAAAATACATTTTCATTTACTCCGCTCCTAAATGACTTCTGTGTTGTACAGGTTAATTTCATTTATAATTGCTTAAATCCTTCCCATTTGTTTTGAAAATTATTCCCCCCAATTTTTTTTTGAACATGTCTTTGCATACACACTCTGTCGTCTTGTGAGTGTAATGCAAATGTGAGATGTACTCATCAGGGGGTGCAAGAGATGACAGTTTGTTGCCACAAAAATAATAAAAATCCACAGAGATAAAGGCATTGTAACCATAGGAACTGTATGAGATGGAGGCAGCGTGTCCGTCAGACCTCAGTTATGTGTGAACATGTAACTATCACCAACCACCAACGAGAGATTGGAAACCATAGAAACAAGGAAACATACAGGGCATGTACCGTTATTATGGAAACAGCAATATAGCAAGTTAAAGCACCGGCATAAATTGAGGGGTTTTATTGTCCTGAGATCACCAGAGAATGTTGGTACCATTTTTTCTATTCAGGGCAATTTTAAAAGGGAATAATAATACAAAAGGTTCATAGTACAATACTGAAAAAAACCTAATAATAACTGAGTCTGCAGTATATTTCAACTGCAATAAATTAGTGTCGCAGTTCAAGACTTGAATAAAAAAAAAAAAATATATATATATATATATATATATATATATTTGCAGAATGTTTGGCTCTTTGTAAATAAAATCACAAATGGAATAGTTATATCCTTTGAGCCTGTATTGGATAAAATATAGGTATGCAGTACCGGTGATGGGCCTAGTTATTAGGCCTCAAAAATCTCTTGTTGAATTGATCCCTGTAGCGACAATAAGGCCAGGACGAAAACGTTATGACCACAGAACAGTTTATGGTGACTTCAAACACACATACTAGGAAAGGGTAATTTCTGTCATCAGGTTATTGCAGTCAACAATTTGATGAGCAGTTCACTGATGTGAAATTTACTGTTATAAGATTCTATCTTATTGCTGTGAAATGATCATAGCACATAGATTACAGACGACTTGTAGTATTTTTGTTTCTTGTTGTTTTCCTTATACCTATGAATATGACTAGATTTGTCCCTGTCATGCACAGGAACAATCTGCAAACAGTATAAAAAGCTGAAGAAGCTGTAGCAGTTCTGTGGGAGTGCCATGCACTCCCAAACCTATTTGTAGTAGCCCCCATGGAGCCAGGGAGGAAAGGGGGGAATATGAAAGCTACATTTAAAAGCTAAAACCAAAACGGTTTTAGCATAATAAAGTGTTTTTCGTTTACAGATCATGCTCGTACAGTCTTACTGCTCAATGTTATGCCGTTCACATCACTTTTTATGCATACCTCACCAGTTTGTGATTTACACAGCTTCCCTACAAACGTTCAGAAAAAGATGTCTGCTTTTTAAACTTTTCTTTTTGCACACTGTGTTTAATGTATCTTCTGTTCTGTTAGAGCTCACAGCAGCCTCTTGTTAAACAGAGCAAGAGATAAGAGATTCTAAAGTAAACACACTGTTATGTTAAGACTGGTTTGAAAATGAAACCTATTATATACATACATAATTATGGAGACTGTTTGAGTCACAGCCAGGGAAGGTGTAGCTAGGATTGTATTTAACTCCTAAATGGCATAGATTTGAGTACCTTAGTAAAACTGCAGGGGCACCATCTACACGTCAAACCTGCTTAGTTTAGCCAACATTTTGGTGCTTAAAGTATCATTTTCAGTAGAGCTTTAGTGTCTTTGTGTATTTGTTCCTCACCACAGCTGCCGCTTTGCCCTTCTGAGAGCATCAAGAAAATGATCTCAGCCTATCCAACATTTTGCCATAACTAAGCATTGGAGGCTATTGCGTATGAGCAGCAACTGCCGCACTATGATAATCGATATTTCCTCGTAGAGATGCATGATACCAATGTTTCTCTGTTGGGAGTAATGAGCATTACATTTAAATTGCTGAGATGTCATGGACACTCTCTTTACAACATAACTATTACATTGGTTCTGGTGATTATAGTGTCCCTTTAAGTACAATAATTTCAGCCTAGTAAGCAGGATCCCAAAGGAGTACACCTTCCCATAGCATAGATTGACAGACTACATACAAAATCTAAGTCAGTGACATAATGATGGGGCGATGTAGTACAATCACATATCTAAACATCATTGACCTCAAAAGATAAAGACATACAGTAAATGCATGACTTTTTGACCTGTTCTGAATCTTGGTTGACTGGAAGGATTACTTGGAAAATGAATGTACAAAAACATAAAATACGTAATTATAACGGGTATCATTGTTTGCCACATGAATTTATGGAATGTTTGATACCAGGTGTTTATATGTGCAAAGAATTTACATAATCTTTGTTAGTATTGAAACAAATCTTATTATAACAAGCTTTAATTATTGTAATGAAATGTCTCTTATGACATTGTAATTAAAAACAAGTAGTACTTAATATCAATGTAAATACACTGGAATATAGTCATCAGTTGAATTCCAAGGGATTGTTCCAAATTTGCACAATTATTGATATACTGAATATTTTGCTGCTTGGTCCTGGCAGTTATGTTGACTAGGGTGAAGTCTGTCCAGTTTTGGTTTCAAAATGTTCTTGTATCTCTTCGTACTACAGGTGTCTGGACCTTTCCACCAGGCTTGGTCCTTGGGACTTTCTGTTTCTTAAGCAAGATCATTCACATATTTATGAATATAGTCAGTGCAGGTGCTGACCTATTTCCCCAGTCTCATCTTCTACAGGGCAGGTAACCCACAATCCTGGTCCCATTGCTGTACTACCTGTTCTGGCACTTACACCACACCTAAATTTACACAGACAACCCATGGTGTTTGAGTACTATTGTAGCGGCGCCATGCCCCTACCTATAACCATATCTGCTCTGTACCACTTACTACTACAGGGGATGGGGGTTACCCATGTCTCACTGGGAGAATGTCCTGCAGCTGTCTTTCACTGAACAGGACTGGTCTAAAATGTTGGTCCTGTCACATCAAAGCTTTAATGTGCACATGTTTCCTGGAGATAAATAGAAAATATGTGAAAAATAAAAATAAAAGTAAGAATAAGAGATAATGAGAGATAGTAAATGAGCCTGTCTCAATGGCAGTATTACAGGAATAGAATTTAGACATAGATGAGATTAAAAAAAATGTTCTGCATAGTGTGGTAAATAGATGACTGGAAGCCTGCATCTAGGAAACACTTACCTGTATTGTATCCAGCAAAGCAACATCTAAGCTGCTGATCTGGGACTCCGTGAGCAATACAAGGTCTGCACCTAATATGCAATTTGTATATCAGCTTATAGACACATGTTAATGAAGTCTGATTATTATTATTTTATTTGAAAAAATTTTTTTATCTGAGCTTTTATATACTGATTTTAGCTGAGAGCTAAGACCCTAATAAAGCAAGTTTTATTTTTAACTAATATGGACTGCTTTTTCATGTATTGTATCAATACAGAGAGTCACTAATTCATTTTTCTCTGTATCTTTTCCACATACTCACCTTTATTGTGGAATGCTACTATCCAAGAAAATACCTGGGACAAAGGAGACTTGCACAGACTAATATTGGACTTTATTATTTAGTCTGTTGCATTCATTATATGAGATCTGCTATTGACTCTTGTTCTAATTGTCATTTATGGTATATTACTGTTTGACTATCCAGGACAGAGAGGCTCATTTATGTTACTGCAGTAACAGAGACTGCAGTTAGAGGTTAAGGGTATAACCTGTTTATTATTATATTTCATGGTTTTTCTTATGACTATATTATGAATGTACCTTACATGAGAATCCTATGAGCTTTTTACAATGTTTGCCTCATTGAACCAAATGTTTGTTTTTATGATAATTTTTTCAACTTCTGTATTCATTTCTAAATGCTAAATGTATTCATTTCTAAATAAAGATTGTCAAAAAAGAAAAGTATTTTGTTTGTGATTGAGTTCCCGGAATGCAAAGGTGGGAGATGGTTTGAAGGTGGGAGGCAGTTTGATGTTCTGTTTTTTTTGCAATTTGCAATGTGTGATATGCTTCTTTTGTGCACATACCTAGAATAGTCCAATTGGGTCAGACCAATATACTTAATAACAATCAGGGTGATTTGATAGATGTCGGAAAGAATGACATATCTGAACCAATAAGGTCTTGTGAACCCAATACATGTATATTTACAGATTTTTTTTTTTCTTGCAGCACCACAGACGATAGAAAGATTTGGACAGATTGAGCAGACATTGCATGCTCTACGCCGTGCAATGATAGGCTTTGAGCAGTGCACTCATCATCATGGCTTACACCCAATAACTCCAAGACGTGAGCCGTACAGAATTAGATGGTTAATGAGACAGTGAAACATCCTAACTATTGCAGCTGTGGCAGAGAGGTTGAGCATTGTGTAAGTCTTGTGGAGACCTATATTTTTTGTCAAACTGTTTGAAAACATTTTGACATAAACTGGAGAGACTGTACCCAAAGCCTACTTATACCATAACTACTATGGTAAGTTGTAGGAGGTAGGTATCCCCTAAACAGATCTGCTCCATCTCAGTTGAAAAATGAACATTCAAACTCAATATTCAAACTCAAACACTATTAAAGGAATACCTGAGCACCATAACAACTACATCACACTGTAGCACAGCTCGGAGTGTTCCTTTAAAGATGGCTAAGTTGAGGACAATGTAATTATAATGCAGCTGAACTTGCTTGTTTGATTTTATACCAGCCATTTCGTTTCCTCTCGAGACAAAGGAGAGAATTTTGCTTGGGAAGTGTAAACGTGATTAGAATGTGTTTCTTATATAAGAGCATTTTCCTCTGGGAACAATTGAATATTCTTTTAATCAATAACTGACAACTTAGCAGGATTTTTTGCACTGTTTGCATCATTATTCTAAGCATCATTATTCTAAGTAGTTAATGAATTTAATTTTTTTTTTATTGCCATTACGTTTGCCCTATGTTTAAGTTATTTACAATTCATGTTAAATGTAAATATGTTAAGGTTGCCAGATAAGAATCAGAGAGATAAGAATAATATTGTCTAGCATGAAGCATTCTCCTGGTTCCATGCATAGTAAATACTCAATATTCACATTCATGTCCTGTGACAGCAGAATTGCAGATTAATTGTTAATTAACAATCAATATAATCCTGAGGACCAAATCAATTGTGACGAAAGCAACTTTTGGAGGGGCCTGTTTGCCAGCCTCCTACCCTGGGACTATAGGCCCTGTGATAACCCATGTTCTAAAGTATTGTTTCTGCCCCTTGGACTTTTAACTGGAACAGATTCAAACATGTGGCGGCGGCCATCTTAAATTGTCCAGCTGTGTTTTGTCGTCGAGTGTATGGAACTGTTTTCGGCATGGGACCATGTGCAGGGTGGGGCAAAAATAAGACTTCCAGGAAATTCCTGAACCCCTAACCGATCTGGGTGATTTTTGGATATGTTGTTCATCCAGATTGGGGCTATCAGGGGATGTGGGGATATGTTGTATTTTGGGGTACTTTTTGGGGTTTGTAAAAATGTATGTTTTTTCTGCTTAGAGTTAATTGAGTTAGTCCATTGTCTTCGTTAATTATATCACAGGCAGAGGGGAGGGATTGTGTACACTATATCGGAGTGACTGAATGTAAAACTATGTTTTTTATTGGATTGTGAGTTTCATGTGCTGTGCCCCACAAGGTCCACCTGGGAGGTAACCTTGTGGGAAAATACTGTATAAAAGAAGCAGCTGTACCATTAAACCTTCAGTTCTACTTGACCCTCAACTCGCAGCCTCGTCTCATGTTTGGAGGGGACAGCTATAATCACTACAAGGATTGTGTTGCGGCTCCCGGCCCGCCGCATGGCGCAGCCGTGCCCGACCAGCATGACCTCGCTGATATTGCGAGCTTACCTGCTCGTCGGCGAGCTGGGAACTGCTCCTCCGCGTCTTCTGGGCGTTGCGCCCAGATCAAAGATGGTGCTGACCACATGGTCGCGCAGATCACAAGCTCCGCCCCTCAAATTTATACGGACGTGTGCATGACGTCACGACGTCGACGCACACGCGCGTTCTGTGGTCAGAGGTCACCCTATGACCAATCAGAGCCCAGAGAGGGATATTTAAATCCCTAATTCACTTCAGTTCCTTGCCCTGTCGTGGTTTCCTGTTCCTGGTTCCCGAGAGTGCATTTATCTTTGTGAATCTGACTTCCTGGTATCCTGATCTTGGCTTTTCCCTAGTTATTCTGAATTCTGGTTCCCCTGACTTGGCTTGTTTAAACGGTATCTGAGTATTTCTTGTTTCCTTGACCTCGGCTTTCCCTTTGACCATTCTCTATCTCTAGCAGATTAGTCAGGCCATTCTAAGGTCCAGTTTACGCTCTGTCCTTTTATTTCCTTTCCTTTTATATGTATATGTTTACATAGTTTCTGCGTGTTGGACCACACTAGCAGCTGTGACAGATTGCTATACTCTGTATACTCCCTTAGCTTCACTGAGCTCTTGTAAGAGCTGTTCCTGTTTGACTTTCCTGGAGGAGAGGTTATCCCCATACGGTCCTGGATCCGGAGTTTGAAGTTACCAGGGTGGGAAGACGATGGCGAGACCCCAACCAAGCTGCGGCGGTTTATGGGGTCTGCAGTGCTTATGGTGTCTGGTGCGGTACTGATGGTCCTTGGTAAGCACTAGGACCATCCGTCGGCGGTCCAACCCTCAGCTAGCCTGGGGCAACCGTTACACCAATGAAATGCTGTTTTTCCAAAGTCGGATTCCCATAAAGTACACTAGACCTTTGCTTACAATACATTTTACATATCACATTGGTTTACACAGGGGCTCACATGCCAATGGAGTCATTTACTATTTTTAACCTTGGAGATTATTATGGGGATATTAAACATAATTGATGAATAATACATTACAAAATCTCTACTGGTAAACTGAGAGCATCATATTTATATTGACTGTACCCACCATAGGCAATGCTATAAGTGTTTCCACCATAGTTAATGTTAGAAATATGTGCATCATAGACTATGTTATAAGTGATTCCAACGTAGACAATGGTCGGAATGTGTCTACCATGTACAATGGTCTTAGTACGTCCATCCTAGTGGATGTTACAAGTGTGTCCAACCTAGACAATAGTCGGAGAGTGTCCATCATCATAGTTACTGTTAAGGTTGTGTCCACCATACAGAATAGTCATAGTGTGTCCAACACAGACTATAGGCGGAGTGCATCCACCATAGTCGATATTATGAGTGTGTCCACCATAGACAATGGTCAGATTGTGTCCATCCATAGACAATGGTTGGTCAGTGATTTGGAGTGGTTATAGTGGCTAGAGCCTGTTTGTGCAGAGTTTTGCTATGAAATATTGCACTTATGGAGTTTAATCCCTCTGTTTCTTTTTTTTTCAATGTTACATTTTTTTATTTTCATTTCTTACATGCACAGAAAAAACAACATAAATTATAAACAATAATAAAACACAATAACATGAAATAAAAATAAAAATACATAAATAAAATAAATTAAATTTTGCTTTTCTTTGCCATTGCCTTAATTTCATTTGTAATCCTTATATTCAACTCATACAAGTGTGCAAAGTAAAAATAATTGACATTGACAACTAGTTCTTACTTACAAGCGGAATGCCCAGCATCTTCGTCCTGTTTTAACAGTTTTAACAATTTTTTACTTAAATCTTTCAGCTTTGCAGTCATACCCTATCAATTATTAATTAACATGCAATAATGTACACGCTTTAACCTCATATCTGTTTTGGTCTATTCCTCCTTTTGCTATAACCTCTATTTATACCTTACACCTATATGCTA